GATCTTCTTTACATCAATTTATTTTCTTGTATTTGCTAAGACTTTGTGTGTAACCAAAGATTGTTTAGATAGGTTTTTATTACCTTATCTTTCCGCAAACAATCTTGTAAAATCTGTATTGATTTTCTCTATCAATATATATTTTAAGTTTGAAAATATTGTGTTTGTATTTATCCCCCCTTCTACAAACTGTTTCTCTTCTTGTAGACCCTCACGGGACCAACATTATGTTCTTGAAAAGATAAAACTTTTCAACTTTCTGACCATCAAGAAGCTACATTTTGAGAAAACTCGAATCATTAAACATCGTATCCCAAAATCTTAGCGTTTCATCAATCTTGGATTCATCCTTTTATGATAAAAAATGAGTGAGTTGTGCACGTTTTTTCCAGAACTATGCAAAACATTCTTTAAAACAAAGAATATGTCTTTGTAATCCGAGTTGAGTGTTCTTTAAGTTTAGAGCCTGTGGCTTTATGTTCAGAGGAGGAAATGGTTCATAAAACTCCATTGTCAAATCTTAGATTCAAAAAAATGAGGAGAACATCATGATTTGAAATCAGGAAGATTGGCTTTGAAATACATAGCTTTCTGTCCAACAACTATCACTTGAATTCAACACAGTTTTTTGACATATCATCAACTTGATTTGTAGAAAAATCAAAACATCAGTGTTGTACTACTATGTCTTAGCTTTCCAGCGCATTTGGACTCATCAAATTTGGAGCTTTAATGAGGAAGATATGGTCAAAATGCTATAGCTTTGTAAATCTGCAATCAGAGTTTTGAGAGATGTGTATCCTTTTGAATTCAGAGAAGTGGAACCTTTATAATCGGAGAAATCAAATTCCGAAAACATTATAAACATAAATAAATAGCTCTGAATGCAGTAGGCTGAAGTCTGGATACGCTTGGCTTAAAATTCGATAACTCTGAATTACACAGGATTGAGCTCAAAATTCTGAACCTGAATATACATGGTCAAAAATTCTGAATACATATGGTCAGAAATTCTGGATAAACTGCAGCTAACAAACTTCGAAAATATCCTGGAACAAATTTTGGATGCACACGATCATAATTCTAAGGGCATAACCCTTTGAAATTTGTACACATGAATATTAACTCACATCCATAACACTGTTTTAAAAATCTAAATGTATTTCAAATTCATTAAGCACAAGGAAAATTGAGACAAAGATTTGGAAAATCATGAACGTAAGTTTGAGTTAACATAATCA